TACGTAATTAATGGTGGACGTTCTACTGGCACATTAGGTAAAGATTACGTTTGATTGATTACATTCACCAAGGCGCCAGACCACTGCAGGCCCAGCGGCGACGTTGATCGGCTTTGGCGCAGAGTACCCAAGTGATCCGCGCTCCGAACTGCATCAGTGCCAATCGAGGATCTGCAGCCTGACAGTAGCTTGGTCCGAACATCAGATTCCAGACTGTTCCGCTCCGGTGCAGTGTTTGCGCAGCTCTCTGCTCATCTAACTTTGAGTGCGCGCCGAGCTGTGGATTTTAAAAGGTGGACCTTTGTCTATTGCTAGAGGTGACTCATCTACTCGAGGGGTGCCAATTTGCGCTACAGATTCGGGAAGGAGCTGAGAATTAGATGTATTGCCGGCTGCATGACCGTTTACTTGCGATTCAGTTACTGCTTGCTTATCCATCTACTCCAACTTTCTCAGCAATCTTTTCTGTGCCTTATTCCCATACTGCTGCCCGTTCTTTTTCATAAATGCTTTTTGACTTACTTCCTTTTACGCAGAAGCATCACTAAATGCTACTCTAGCAGCTCATTTCCAGTCCCCAGCTGAATGCGCTTTGAAAGTATAGACTGAGGATAGTAAGTTTTAAAGCGTGAAAATAAAATGTACAACTAATACATTAAAATATTATATCATTAGTGTCGCTAATTACATTAATATCATTTACTTCAATATTTATTAATGCATGCAATTTGCTTAGGAAAGTCGGATCTCCAAAGTATTAATCCCATTTCGTCTACGACGACTACGTCTTAAAATTTTACCTACTTTCAAGTAAATTGATATGAAGAAAATGTAGATGAAGTATCCACACATACCCCGGTGCATTGAAAACCTCTTTATCATCTCTTATGTGTGGTTTTCATGGCGTTAGATGTTAGGAGCATGTATGTGAGAGTTGTGAAAAAAAGAGGAGTTTGAGGTCTTCTTTCCTTGCAGTAATGTATGCAGTAAGAATGAAAATTGCTCGTGCGGCTACGGACCATCAAGAAGAGGCGGCTTTGATTGCAACAATGTGGACACGCTCCATTGATCACGCAACTCTAACAAATTAATTTTTGGGCTGCAGGCTACTCAAACTCAGTTTCTCCCACACCTTTTCGCCTCTAGGTCCGGGTAAGCAGGTACCATCTATACCCTTTGTTGAAGCGCTTTGTTTTTCTGTGTAAGTATGGGTTTGTATGAGAAGGACGCTGATTCCCGACCAAAATATGCTAAACAATCGTTTCTCAGCCGCTACTGCTGATTCTCATCTGCGAATAATCAAATCTCAAAAGATAGCGTAAGCCTGCTACTACAAGAACATGCATTGCAATTGCTTTATTGAAATTGAACGAGTAAGAACATTTCAGGCTCTTCTGATATCTTTCTTGGATACTTCCGATAAGGTATCATTACCAGCAGACGAGACTGTATCGTTTCCACCAAGTAGAGTGATATCATTTACGGCAACACGGTGGTTACTTTCCATTTCTGTATCGTTTCCGGCCATATGGGTACTGTCTACACTCTTCTTGACAAGAACGCGGACTTTTCGAGCATTATCCTCGCCACGTTC